TCTTGGCCACAGTCCCTTCCCAGTCGATTTCGATACAAATTGCAATTCCTGTGATATCAATTATTTATCTCTCAATACTTTAATACTTTCTGGATATTCTTTTTTTAAGAATATCCTGTAATTAAGTACCTTACCCGTTGGAAATAAATATTTTGGCTACAGTCCCTTTCCAGTCAATAGGTAAGAAATAATAAAACTATCCTAATCCATCATTTGGTACCGATTTTGGTTCTATCTCGATATCACTGGTGAATTTGCCCTCACAGCAAACCCTTCAGTTTCGTGCTGAATTGATGAGCATATAAAATGAAAAAATGTAATTACTCCGAAGTTTAATTACAGCTTTCCATAGATCTAAAAATAACTCTTGTAATTAGCACGCAGGGTTGCATACCGAACCCGTTTTGTACAACACCAGATATGATGAACGACTATGCTTTCTATAGGAAATCCATTATAATTTTGTTTTACGAGGTATTTCAAGTTATTTCCATTATTGAATAATTATGATTGAACTTCTCCAGCAAAAACATCAAAAATGAAATTTCATAATGAAATAAATTCAAGACAAATCAATAGATCTTCAGGTGATCAACCCTTCCGGGAGAAAGGAGGAAATCTGAGTTTGTTCAGGAGACTCAATCTTGATAACATAAGGACTATTATTAAAAATTATGGAAAACCCTCATAGGAAAATAATCTACAAAAGAGTTTGATCATTAACTAAGTTTAAACTGATTCGATAGCACTGAAAAATTTCGGGCCCAGGTTTCCTATAAAATTACAAGGTGGAATCCGTAAAATAACATACGTTTTTTTTAATGAGTTTTAAAAAATGAAATAACAGAATCTCTCAGAAAGTAGAATAACTTCACATAACTGTCAATAAAATGTATGGTATGTTTCACTCGAACCGCCCGGTATAATCGCATAGCAAAACAAACTTTTTGAGTGAGTTTTGAGTGAAAATAGGGAGGAATGTTTACACCCATTTTTTGGCCTTAATTTCTTTTACTGGGTACCCTGTATATTGGAGAATATTTCATCAGAGCTCAATCTTTGACTTGTTGAAGCAGTTCTTGAGGTCTTTTCTTAGAACATTCCTTTATATAGATTTTTCCCGTTTATATTTCCAGGTGTACTTTTCCGATATTCTTTATGTTTCTGTTTCACATATGTACTGATTTCGTTCCGTACCAATGATTATGGTTTCCAACATCACATTGACTGACACAAGAGCCTATTTGTTTCAATCCAAACATGAATCTGATCAAAAGTTTGGCTACTCTTCGAACAAGATAGGTACTATTCTCGATTAGTTTGTAGGAAGTTTTTTGAAAATCGTCTGCAAAACAAGCTACTCGACCAAGAGGCTACAGAATAACTGATGTAGAAAAAAGAGCACAGTAGCACGAACGAAATGAACATTCAGACATAGATTGTTGAAATAAGCCATTACATATTAGTAAAGCTCAAACAGAAACTGAAAAAATCAAGCAGAAAGTTTATACAAAGTTGCGAAACTTCATGTGACTGGATAACTTTCAGTTACACGATCGTGTGTTTCAGTCGCGGATGCATAAGATTGAAAAACAACATTTTTGCTACTGAAATCAGTAGGATAGGTTTGTTTTCATATTATATGGTATCATTTAATTCATAGTTCGATGATATGTTGCCTTTCTCAATATAAACTTGTCAGTTATGAGACATATTCCATTAACAAAATATTTCACAAGTAATTCATATTCATATACAAATTACCAATAATACATTTTGACTTGTATGGTAGAATCATCAATTTCTTCATATCAACAATCATTTGTCTGACAAGTTAAAACTGAGTGAATACCAAAATGAAGTAGGAATAGCGCTAAGTGGACTTTATTGTATAATGATCATAAAAAATGTTGGTGTTTTTTAGAATTAGTGAATACAAAATCTCAATAACTTGAAATTTCAGTTCTATATATCAGTGAAAGTAAAAATATATCCGTTCTGGAAGATCCAACATCATTTTGAAGAGTTAGTTATTTATGTATTTACTCTGGAGTAAAAAAACTGTTGAAAATCATGGCTCAATAAGTCAACATTGAAATTGAATTTATATTTGTTTCTTCAAGTACCTTCTCGTTACTTTACGATCAATTCTGCTATTATTAAAACGTAAAATAATCCAACCAGAATGTTTTTTGTTTTTTTTTGCTAATGCTTGTGAAAGAGTACTGTTATCTATTATTGTAACCAGGAAACAAGTAATAATTTAATTTCCTTGAATAGATCTATAATTATCTTGCCCTAGTTTGTAAACTCTCCAACTGTCTCTCCCACTGTTAGTATTATCTTTTTCTATTATAGTCTACTAGTTGTTGCCCACATAGAATTTGGTTTGGCACATTAAGTTTCGTGAAAGACCATTTTAAACAAATAGTTACAGTATTTTTTATCAACCCAATACTTCAGGTTTCCAACTTCAAAACTGACGAAATTCAATACAATCTTCAAACCCCTATTTTTCCCCTTGGGGTGGAAATTCCTGATTCCCTTTCTTAATGCTTATTTACGCTATACAAAGAATCTACATATTTCAAGATTCTAGGTTCAGTAATTTCGGCTGTACGTCAATATGTATAAAGGTGTCAGTCAATCAATAGGTACCCACTTGTAGAATACAAGCTGTCCCCGCTGTTTTACCCGAGTTACCGTGGGAACCAACCCTATGTGTTACTCCAGGTCATGATCTATCTATATACCAACTTACATTTGAATCCGTTGAACTGTTTAGGCGTGAAAAAGTAAAAACGTAAATACATACATTACATTCATCCATCCTCACAAACTTTACGCATTTATAATATTAGTAGGAGTAGGATTAGTAGGATTACCAATGTATTTCATTCTAATCAGGAATCAGGATTTCTCTTTCTTGATGCGTTTTTACGCTATACAAAAAACCTACCTGCATATTTCAAGATTCTAAGTTCAGTATGCTAATATAAGAGTTTCAGTCAATCAATAGGTACCCACTTATTAAACATCATCAGCAAAAAGAACGAAAGAATTAGAATGAAATACATGGGTGTAATCCTACTACTCCTACTAATATTATGAATAGGTACAAGTTTGTGAGGATGAATGAGTATAAGAATTATTTACTGAAAAAATTGAAATGATTTTTTTTATTCCAAGATCCAAAATAAAGGAAATTCAGAAATTACATCTTTATTAAAATAATCTAATAAGACCTCACAAAAGGTTATTTTCAGTTTCTATACTGCATTTATAATAATTTATGGGACATAAATGTTAAGAAAAAGTTTGCCCTGCAATTCCTACTCAGTTTTGGAGTCTGATCTAGTTACCATGAAGCATTGAGAATGTTGACTGAATCAATGATTGACAATTGTTTCAATGATTGACTTGAAAATGTTGTACAAACTTGGAATTCGCAAGTATATCTGCAGTGTGAAATCGTTCAGATATCAAAATGTTCGTCAGGCAACCATTTATAAGCCAATTTAGAAATAAAAGTCATTAGACACCTTCAACATTGAAAATTGATCCAAATGAAGTAAAATTTGAAGCAATTTCTGAGGCTGGGGTTTCTGCACCCTTTATTGGTCTAATTCGAGGATAAGCTATGAACACCAAGCTTTATACCCAAAGATTCTTACCAAAACTAATTGATTCTTGATTCAATTATTCCCATCATCGGAACAATGACATATTTTTTTTAACCGGCATTCTTTGGATATTTTTACCTTCTACAATCTGTCGAAAAATTTGAGAAATAAAAATAACCAGCAAAGGAAGAGCTGCATATAGACTCAAATTTTGTCCACTTCTGAAGACGGAGGCAGATTATAGCCTCCAAATCGTCAAGATAAGTATTGTATAATTTCTTAGCTCATTTTTTGAAAAAAATACTTTCCATTTACGCAGTAACTTTTTTATTGGGTTAAACTAAAATGTTTGCCCTTTCTACACGTGTATAACGTTCTCCATTACAATCTTCATATTTTTTAGATTGTGAAAAGTATAAATACACAAGGCACGTCGATTAAAAATTTTCCTTCCCAAAAAATAACTTCCGTTCAATCAACACTCTTGACCCAAAAATTCAACTCCACCATCTCAGATTTTCATGAAACTTTGCTAAAATAACAATTTATTTAAACTGAGAAATATGTTTTAATATCTATGTTTTAATTTTTTATGTCAACCACCTTTTGAGCTATATTTATTTCAATTTTCTAAAAAACCACAAAAAATCACATTGATGGTGTTTACTCAATAAGTGGCTGGTGTCTTAATTGAGCTACGTCATATAATATGCAAAACGGGGAGTTTCAAAAATATTTACAACATACATTACAATACAAAAATAAAAAAAACTCTTGTGATTTGTGCCACCAACTTGAAGATTAGAATGTTTTGCTACAATACACACGCAAAAGACCTTGCGATGATGGCTTGGTGGGACTATAAAAGCAAGTTTATAACGTCCCTATGATGAAATTATCAGCTACTGATGACGAATGGAAACTTATAAACAAATATTGTGGACGCGCCTTTTTAGAAAAATTCGGGAAATGGACCTGAAAATTGTCCAAGGGAAGATAACACAAATCTTAACCAAAATGCGTACTATTGAAGATCATGATCCGCTATCCGTTTTTTAGTTTATTTTCATTCACGGTATATACTTTTTCAACCACAGGCATCAAAAGTTTATTAAAATTTTGTTATTTCGTTGAATTTGATGTACTAAAAGTGAAAAATGTGGTTTAACTTCTATTATCCCTGGAATAACAGCAATGTTAGTTTCCTGTTTATCCACCATTTTTTGATGTGTATGATTAACGTTTATTTCAATGCCTCGTCAATTAAGTTAATAAGAGTTAATTGTTCATCACGAATATACGGGGCGTAATATATGGCCGTATATTTGAAATTTTCTTCGATAATTGAAATATTTGATTTTTTTTTTTTTTTTTCAGGAAGAAAGATGGCAAAGAGGTAACGACGAACGACAGGATAACATCGAAATGGGATGCGTCTAAGCATGTGCATACGCTAACTGTGAATGAGGCCACTGACAATGACATTGCCAACTATACTTGTATCGTCTTAGATAAAAACGGTGTCGAAACAGCCAGTGGTAAAATTCGAGCTGCAAGTGAGTTTTCCATATTCCAATTTTTTACAAATCCGTAATAACGTTAAGTTATATAGTAGTCAGAATAGTGATTTATAAAAGGGAATGGCTCATGTTACCTAGGCTCTCAAAATAGACACATTGAAGCACATTTTCAATATTATATACATACAGTGTGTGTAAATTCGTGCTTTCATCAGAAGTTTGAGACGAAGAGGTGAAGTTATCAAAAAATGTTTCGTATAAAAGTTTCAAATATCATCGCATTGGGCTGTTCGAATACCCAGAGGAAGCGTTGCATATCAAAATTATATTTTTTAAATGGAATGATATATCCAGATTTTCATATTCAACTTCCGTCAGGAAAGTATTTAAAAAAATATAACCGAACGGTTCAGAAATTATGTCAAAAATAACGTCAAAAATGTGATGCATACAACCGTCTCTAATTTCAAAGAAGATATTTTTAAAATGTTTTTTCTTTGTCAGTAGTTATATTTGATTTCCCGGTAAAAAACTTTTTTGAAAATATGTAGTTGCGTGAGTAAATATCTAGCGATTCGATTGATTTTACCAACACAAAACAAATTTCGAACACCATTTTATAGACAAAGTTATTTTTCTCAGAATAGATTGAGAATGAAATAGTGGGGGATTTTGAAAACAGTCTTTTTCACATTTTTTAAGGAAAATAGATTCCACATTCTTATTTTCAAAATCTGTTTTTTATAACTTTCGAACCACTGGGTATTTATACATATGTACCTTTTCAAAACGACATTTTCACATCTACAATAAAATATGGACAAAATAGTGTTCGATTCACTCGCTAATAAAATAAGATTGTTGTCATCAAATTATTATTCGATAACGAAAAACAATATTTGAAAAAATTTTTCATGGCAAAGCAGACTCTTCAAATGAGTTTTTTTTTTAATGGGGACGGTTGAATAAATCAAATTCAGACGTTATTTTTGTCATAACTTCTGAACCGCGCGGTATATACCCCTGCACTCCTATATTTTATAAAAGTACTGTTCTGATGGAATCCGAATATGGAAAGCAATATATCTCATTCCATTTAGTTAACTTAAATCTGAATTATCACCACCCTTTTCGTTGAATTGATTTTGATATATAAAACTTTTATATAAAATATTTGTTGATAACTTCGCTCCTTAATCTCAAACTTCTATTGGAATGAATATCTGTTGATACACACTGTTGATATAAAGTTTATGTTTGGACTTCCCGCCTAAACAAAATTTTACATATACCACTATTTAAAAGTGCTCCAGAAATGTATATACCTTACGTGTCTAGTGGGACCAGTAACGTTGATTGGTATTTTATTATATTAGATATTAGAATGATTTTGAAAATGTGATATGCCTAATTACAATCAAGTGAAATTTCATATTGACCTCTAATACTCCTGATAATAACTTATGCAACTTTCACAATAAATTTGATTTAAGACAGTTTTCGCTAAACGGTAGCTTCATCAGTTAGACTGGTGATTGCTGTCATATGTTGCTCAAGAGTTTTGTGCAAGGTAGATTCAGAAGATATCGTGCTCTCGAGGATGCGATAACTCACTTCCTGGCTGCACAATCTAGCCTCCTAGCTTTGTTTACATGACCAATTGATGAAAAACTAAGAAGCTTCCAATCCAATGTTACTTTGAAGAACTTGTAATCCTTTGATGAAATTTTATCGACGTACGTCTCTTCTATAACACAGGGTCGGAATCTTTGATTACTTCGTGGTCCTGAGACACGCGTTACATGATAACGTTTTCTATGATGAAAAAGCGCCCGGTATCGCGAAGGTTTCGTTAATGTCACTGAGTGGATGCAGACTTGCAGAGTCATACAGTGTGTCAATTTGAAAACTTCCCACCCTCAATATCTCCCTTCCAGTACATAATATGAAAAAATGGTCAGACAGGTCAACTTTATTTGCAAGGGGGACACTCTGAATGAATATTTTCAACCCTCGGGGTTCAACCCCCTAGGANTCAGACCATGTTACAGTTTTCTAAATCTATTTGAGATCACATTTACCTTCATCGCGTAGACAACACAAATGTGTGACTTGGAAAATAGGTCTCCAGTGATGCATTTCAGAAAAACGCTCTTCCATTTCTGCAAGTTACTTACTCCACCATGAGATCCTCCCCTGATCCTCTCAAGTTACCTGTGGTCATCCAGGTCTGAAAGTGCATCTTCTGGAAAATTATCTTAGGCAGTCCTAATGACATACTGAATAGTTTCCAGTTAATTAGTGAATATTGAACTTGTCGGATGTTCATGGTACAAGATTTTAAAACCAATGACCGTAGCAACCTGACGATACAATATGTGTTGTCCAATATTCGGAAGGCAGGAAAACAATAATACGCTGTTTCAATATCCTCTTTTTATTCCCCAAAATCCACTGATAAACCATTCGATACCGGTATACATTTCTATATTCTATCATTTGAGTTCAGTACACAATATATTCAGCAGTGCAGGGTTATTCTCGCATCTGGTTTTGGTGAATCATCGATTGAGCTTAAACATTTACTAGTGTTTCCTCTTCTGATGGAGATTTTCCTTCTGTTGCTCAAGAGTTTTGTGCAAGGTAGATTCAGAAGATATCGTGCTCTCGAGGATGCGATAACTCACTTCCTGGCTGCACAATCTAGCCTCCTACCTTTGTTTACATGACCAATCCAATGTTACTTTGAAGAACTTGTAATCCTTTGATGAAATTTTATCGACGTACATCTCTTCTATAACACAGGGTCGGAATCTTTGATTACTTCGTGGTCCTGAGACACCCGTTACGTGATAACGTTTTCTATGATGAAAAAGCGCCCGGTATCGCGAAGGTTTCGTTAATGTCACTGAGTGGATGCAGACTTGCAGAGTCATATATCATTTCGACATTCAGGAGTACTCTTGCCTGACACGACAAACAGATATTAGTTCAGTCTAAAGAATCATACTCATAGCCTGACAAATCATGTTTATAACACTCTTGCTTTAGTTAAATGACAAGCAGCAAAAAAAAACTCAAAGCATTCATTCACTTAGCTTATTCAAGGCATAGAACCCACTAGAACCCAGTGATCTCTCACTTCGTTGTTGTTTGGGTATTCGGTATTTAGAATTATTCATACCACAGATCGAATACTTGAATATGTTGTTCACTTTGAACTTTCTGTAGAAGAATGCGATTCTAATATAATGATGAATGCGAATTTGGACGGGATCTCTTTGAAATAAGGAGCATTAACAAAATGTTTGTAATGAATTTTCATTTCGCGCTAAAGTCAAATTTCAATCATTTGTTGATCCAGAGTTATAAACTGCTAAAAACGATTATATATTGGTATTAAGTAGACGTTATATCTTATAATACCCATAAACTATGAAAACCCTATATGGCAATAATGAGAACAATGAACTCATTCAATGACTGACGAAAATGCAGCACGTTCAATTAGAAAATATAATCCACAACATTCAGTACAGTCAATTGGTCATACTAAAATATATTTGATATGTTCTGCACAATAGTTTGTCGTCCAACTATTGAATGTTTCTGTTGTTTCAAATGTAGAATGCAACTATTCCAAATGTTTCATTATTGTAAATATTTAAGTTTGAGTTGATCACTTAATGAACAAAAGATACCCTGTACGCCATAGGGCTAATGATTGTAGCTACTGCTATCCTCAGAAAAACATGTCTGATAAGATAAGAAAATAGAAATAGGAAGTTGGATCTTCAAATATTTATATGTATAGATATTCCGTGTTAGGAATCACACGTTAAAAGGTAAGACCTCGTTAATCCTTAGCTCGCACAAGTTTCGACTTCTGAGAGTTGTCATTCGTAGGGGTGCGACAGCTGGTTAACGGAAAAACAGATTTTAAACAAATTGTGCCAGCATATTTTGAAAAATAAATAATGATTGTCCTTTTGTGTTTTCTATGAGGTAATGTCGGTTGAAACTATTAAAAACGATAACATACGGTATTCCTTGTAATGACGCATAAACAATAACATCAGGTTTTTGGTTGCTAAGCTGTCGATGAACATATGAGTGCTATTGACGTACTATTTATACAATTACCTATGTCTACTCGTATTACAGATAGATACTCGAAAAATATATTGCGTCAATAATAAAAGATGCCATAAAAATGTTGACATAATTGTGATTGAAGATAGATTACAAAAAATACGTAGGCGAGTGTTTTTTACGACCTTATATTAAAAATAAGAACATTATCAGTAAAATTTATCTTACCAGAGAAAAATTTGAGTAGTAGCTTTCACGTTTTTGTAGAAACTAAAACTCTTATCTCAATTCAACCTAAAGGAATCTGAACCCAAAAAAAATATTTTTTCTAAAAAATTATGTTATCAATTTGAACAAGTATCCTTATTGAGGAGCACGAAATCAAAGAATATCACAGAAGGTCTGACTAATCAATGAACATTTTTACTTTAGTTTTTAGTCTTTGTCACAATTGAATGTCCATTATCAAGGTAGGCTGCTGTATACTTTTACTGGGAGATAGTCTGTGTAGGATATTAGTGGAACCATCCTGTAATTTCAATAATGAATGGTACTCTGTAATGTAGTTTCTGTTTTCACATTCATTTTCTCAACCTGTGGTTTACAATCTTGAAGCAGAATATTGTATTCTGTATTTTGAAGAAAATACTAATTTCAATGACTAACTCACGAACACCCTGTATGTATAACGAAATTATGTTAATATTTGCAAAATTTAGCCATAAATGACGTTGTGTAGCATTCCTGTGAATAATAGTTGTTTCAATTCCATAACGAATATCTGCAGTACAAACTGATTAGGAAAAAGTGATTTCCATGTAATTTAGTGTTCATATGTTTGAAAGTATAGGGTTTTCCAACAGGGACTTCAGAACTTTGATAATTGATAACGGCCACTTTGTTGAAGCGATATCTGTCAAATTAGCTGTCAATTATATAATATTTTTTGCCAAATCAGCATGTACGGATAAAGCATCCAACAACACTTGCAGATAATAAAGTTGTTTTATCAAAATGGGTGTTCTGTTCGGGCAACGTCCGTGCGCTTCGCCCATTTTACGGTCGCAATAATCGTCCTACCGAGGGGACTATTCGCAATGTGGTGGTTGGTTAAGTAAACGATCGATCAACATCCGTAAGTCGACAAAACGCCAGATCTGCCAAAAACATCGCCGTTGTCTGTGAAAGTGTGCCGGAGAATCGGAGGCAGTCGATTACGCATTGCTCACTAGAACTCGGCCTTTCACAGACCACAACTTGGCGAATATTGCGTCGTGACTTGGGCTGCACCTGAACAAAATTCAACTGACCCAGAAACTGAAGGTAAGCGACCATAGAAAACGACGTGTGTTCGCTGAATGAGTCCTGTAGCAGTTGGCAACTGACCCTAATTTTCATCGAAAAATCATCTTCAGCTATGAGAGCCATTTCTGGATGAATGGGTACGTGAACAAACCAAATTGTCGAATTTAGGACAATACCAATCCACATAAGATCCAATAGCGTCCAATGCATCCCGAAAAAATCACTGTTTGGTGTGGATTTTGGGCAGTTGGCGTTGGCAAGGCCAGTGTCAACGGCGAGCAGTATAGGGCGATGATTACCAACTTGTTTTGCCCTAATGAGCCTTTTTCCTGAGAATAGTACAGCAAACGTGTCACGATAGGCAGCAAGCAGTCCGCGTTTGGTGGCCTGGTTTTCGTGAGGCTGCTACGGATAGTGTCACCGGATCTGAAGCAGGTTCTGATGTTGTAATTTGGATTAGATTTGGAGTAAAGTAAAAACCGTTCATTTTAAGTTTGCGTGTTGTATTTCCTAAACCTTACTAAGTTTTGTAAAATTTTATACTCGTATGTTTACAAAAATATTGGATTTGTTGTGAAAAATATTCTCAATTCCAAGTGGAGTCGAATTTAATATATCGGTGTCATCTGACTAAACAAATTGTCCAGGTGTTCAGTCTGCCTTGAGATCTTGGAAATAAAAACTGTAAATTTGAATGTCCGATTTAGGCTTATGTTTTTTGCATTGATTTGCCATAACCCTTTTTCTATAGTTTTCGTTGTTGCCGAATGGTTTCAAATACATAGAAAAAAGCATATATCGTGTATAAAGTATACGTCTGGCAGGCCAAATGTGTTCAAAGGTAGTGAAGGTATTTTTTTATATACTGGACAAGATATCAAGATCCGTTAAAATTTACGTGAAAGGCGTCATTTTCAGTTCTTTTTGACAATAAAGACAATAGTGTCATCATCTTTTTTAAATCAAAAGGGAAGTTTTGTTTGATAGGAATAATGAAGTTTTTTTAACAAATTCATTTCTTGCACCTGTCAAAAAACTAGGGTTTATTAAGGTTGCCAGCCATGCGCCATTTTAGTGATATTCAAGTCATGTTGTTCTTATCGTCCTAGTTGATTATTGAGTAGCTGACATTGACGGTATTTTTTTACGTCAGTGAAAGAGTTGACAGTTTTTTCACATCTTTGAAATGATTAAAACATTTTTACTCCTTTTTTCCATGATAATTCCTAAGATATCTACTGCAGTGGGTAGGATTTATTACTATACCCTTACAGCATTTTTTTGAAGTAAAATTACTTTTATTTATGATCAATGAATTTATTTCATTTATTCTATATTGACAACTGTATATTTTGTTTTTAGGAAGCATTGCAGTGAAAGTTCCTTCAGATATCAACGTAGTTGAAGAAGAACGGTTAAGAATAGAATGTAAAATTGCTGGAAATCCATCTCTCTCCTGGGTATTTGGTAAGTTCAAAATAATCATAATAATGAAGTGAATTGTTCTCCAAGGGAGGGATTGATACATTAAGGTACTTAATGTTTCAAGAAAGTTTTGGTATTATCGAAAATGTAATAAAAATGTTTTATCTGTACACCCTATCTAAAATAGCTGCTTTTGAAATGAAATACCAGCTTTGTTCACTTTTCATTTTTTTTTCCTGGTGGTTTACAAGTAACTTGTAACGAAAAAATTTTTGAACAGCGGAAAACAGGCCGAGGTTTCGAATGCTCATTTTCAATAAAATTGAATGCACAAATATCGAATTTACTAATATTTCAATTTTTTCAACTAAACTTTGATATTGTCATAGCAGAATTGTCAAATTTTGCATCTTTATTTTTCTATTTGCATTTCTTTTATATTCTTTTTTTAGAAATTGTGCAGTTATTGATGAAGTATGTGAAATAATTTCCTCTTTATTGAACATTTTTTTATACAGATGTAAATCTGTAAATAACTTCTTTTACATAAGGTGAAAAATATGTTGGAATTTTCTTTTTTACAACTACAATTTCACAATTACATTGCGAAATGTTCACATATTATACAGTTTACAAAACTATTACATATCTCTTGCCATTCAATAGCTGAAGAAATGTATTGGGGTTTTATACATCATTTATATAAATATTTTCAGTATATTTATATTTTTTTATGTATGAAAGGTAATTCATTCGTGTTTTTTTTTTTCACTAGACAATGAAACATATGCAGAATCTAGGGATCGTGTCATAATTGAAGATTACAAGGAAGATGATGGCAAGCTGGTCAAAAATGGAGTTTTCATTCTTTTAAATGTAACAAAAGAAGATAGAGGGCTTGTTTCGTGCATAGGAGAGGATCGTGCATTAAATGAAACTTCCAAGTCTGATTGTTTGGTTAGAGTAAAAGGTTAGTATTAGTAAAATGACGTAAGGCATATGACATAAGCACTTTGAATATTATAAATGTAAAAGGGTTCATTAATTTGTTGAATATTTGGATTTATATTTTGATTCTCTATTAACTGTTCTGCTATTTATAAACGCCAAATTATGTTTGAATGTTTTTTATACATGTTGAATGTGTTATCTTTTTTTATCAAATCATCTTTCTTTATTTGACTAGACTTCATTTTTATACATTTTTTTTTTTAGATAAATATGCTGCTTTGTGGCCTTTCCTTGGTATATGTGCTGAAGTCATCATTCTTTGTGCCATTATCGTAATTTATGAGAAGAAACGTAACAAGACAGAACTTGAAGAGAGTGACACAGACCAAAGTCCAGATCAGTAAGTACTTCCAATCATTTTTCAATAAACTATTATATATGTGGTTTATGAGAACACAACTATGAAATGTTCTTGTAGTTTGGTTATAAGTAAAAACAAAATTGTATTATTTTGGAATAAAAATCATTCCAAAAATGATCATTCAACATGAACAAATTAACTTCATTTTGAAATAAACTCTTGCATCTGAATCGAATTATCTATTTCTCAGTATGTCTTGTCTGATAATACTCACAGATTAGAAGATTGCAAGACATGAATAATTCAATTTGAACCTTTTTTGCAACGTAATCTTTGATTGAATGCTCCAGAAAACATTTGATCAACTTGGTTTCATTATTTCAGTATCAGACAGTATAATGATTTTTACATCTCATAAGTATGTTTCACAGTCAGGGTACAATTTTAGGACCGTTATTGTTTCTTCTTTTCATTGCCGATTTGAGTGATATAATGGACCTTTGCACAATGAACCTATAAAATTAATAAGTAATATTGATTTTATCATTTTTTTCTGGAAGTGTAAAGGTCAATTACTTCCTTCAACTGTTTTTCGCCAATGATTTAATTTTTTTCAATCGACTGTGGCATGTTGCAAAAGGAAATGACTTCCTTCAACTGTTTTTCGCCAATGATTTGATTTTTTTTAAATCGACTGTGGCATGTTGCAAAGGGAAATGACAGTCTGCAGAACTGGTACATTAGCCACAAATTACTACTCAATGCGAATAGACTTATTCGAGAAAATCCCAATCAATACTGTATGAATAAAAAATTGATGATTAAATCCTGACTCTTGTGAGAGTTCCATCAGAGTTTAGGAATTGTATTTGATAGTCGTGTCAGCTTTGTTGAGCACATAAATTTATAGTCCAGTTCACATGTACCATTTTCTTCTAAAATTGTTATATAGTCTCCGAAAATTACGATCAAGGTGTCATTCGATTCGTATTGTCACGTAGAAAGTTTAAGGAAAAGTTCTAAAAGGCGATGAAAAAAATTACAAAAGTTATAAACAAATTAGTAAAAAAAAATAAGGTTTTTCCATTGTGTTTCGGGAAAGGACCTTAGTCGCACGTACCTCTCAAAGCCAATTCCTGATGTCCACATGATTTAATTGTTTCAATAATCGGAATGAGCCGTTTCCGGTTTCCGGCTAATTGCGCTAAATATCCGCTATCAATCTGACTCATTATATTTGGTTGAGGTTTATTATACACCTTCATAAAATTATCAGCCAATAATACAGAAGATTTGTGATACTGGCTTTCACTGTGTTGCTTGAAATCATGTATAGCATCTTTCCATTTAGTGAGTGGTTTAGTAACTAAGGATTTCAATTGCTGATGAGAGCCTTTTTCTACGCAATGTCTGGCAAATAATACACAGTATTTGCATAAAGCACCTTGTTGCCCTGTACTCGTGTAAACCAACCACGCGAAGTGTTCAATCCATTGAATTTGAAATTTTAGCTTTCTTTTATCGTCACTAACTGGAAACTTGAATGTCTTTTCTGGCATCCAAGGATATGATATTTCAACAATCTGTACTTCAAATCATCATCAATTTTTATGTTTGATCCCATATAGTATCCCACATCTAAAGAATGCCGAGAAACATTATCCACAGTCCCATCATCATGAGACATTCTCAATCACCTTCAAACAAAAACCCTGATAATTAACAAACTAAAACCTTAGAATTGTTTTCACTTCGTGAAGTTATTCTCAATTGGCTAATGAATAGATCGCCATTACAAAAATTACAAAATATTCATTTTCCACTTTTTTATGATCAAATGAAAATTAAAAATTAAAAAAATTTATTTACTTTTTTTCTGAATCTTGATTGTTTCGATGCCTAATGGTTAAAAGCTACTCGAATTTTTTTTTCGCTGTTATTGTTCATAAACGATTGTTATGTACCATTTAATTATGAGAATTCCATGATTTGCACTTTTAGTAGTTTAGGTATCATTAAAAATCAGGTAAAATTATATTTGCATGAATTTTAAGTAAAATAATTTAAGCTATCACTCATTACATTAATTTTAATGGGGAATGTTCCTCCTGACGAAAATCAAGTAGTTTTCATAAAAAAGCTCTAAAACAACGCATTTTAAACTTATCATTTCAACCTTTTTCTTTAAAAAATTATTTAAATACTTAAAAAAGAGGAATGAAATAATGCATTCAACATTTAAAGGGATTCATTTCTATTTCACCTTTGGCAACATCGGTTATAGCTAATAAAGGACAGTGAATATGTTATCTATATGAGACAAACAAAGATGACATATTTCAGAGGCGTGCCGTTCTGTTTACTTTTGTTCCGAGTTCCCAGACATTCTGTGACATATGACATTTTTTGCACCTAACCTATCTTCCTCCATATAAATAAATAACAAAACATCTGTTGTTCATGTGGTTTGTGTAGGTCGTATTGAGCTATAATTTATATTTTGCCTTAATTGTTAATTTATAAAGATAATTTTCCTTTTTTAAAGTAGAATATTTAGGTACGTATAAATTATTTCAACTTGATATAGGCGCTGTTGTCAATATGTGAATTAGAAACAAATCCCTTTAAAAATCAAAACCCAACATTTGAAACATCAATTTGAATACTTTTCGAAGTGAATTTGAAAAACTCATGAATTAAACTCAACTTTATTTTGTTCAAACTTGCATTTATTGTAATAAAATTGCAAATTGAGGAACATTCCCCATTCAATGAGTCCTCTCAATTACCTTTCTCAGATTTCCTATGCTGGCAAAGTTTGAATTTACTTTCAAATTCCGGTTTTTACCTGTATGCCATATTCCTTTGTTTGGTGTAAAAAACATATGCTTATGGTTTCAAAGGGTCTACCTTTTTACCTGATCAAGTCATATAGCTCTAGTGATATAATTTCAGCCAATAATGGAAGATGAAACTGAAATAAAAATAGTTGTGCATCGAAAACAGAAAATCTTTTTTTCGTCTCTGAAGGTCGTTGTAAGATTGAACATTTGAAATGGTAAATTAATTAACCAACAGTTTAGGTAGAAGAACCATTATACACAATTGTTTCTGACCGCCTGATGGTGTCCCTCTTTTTATTATGTTCCCAGCTCAAAATACTTTCTAATCATGTTCTACATCTTCCTATCCCATTTCAAGGGTAAACATCCCAAACGATAAAGAACTAAATCTAACAAAGGCAAAGTTATTTGTAGACACAACCAATGAATGCCAGGTGGTGTGAAGACTTAGCCAGTGAAAGCAAGCCTTATGTGGAACCATCTAGACTGGTAACTCAAGAAGTTCAAGGATAGAGCGATTGAACTAGAAGGTGATTGGAGCCATACCGGATTTCCCGCTGTTTCTGAATTGAAAAATATGGATTTTTTTTATTTGAGAATAATTTGCGAGGTCACAGAATAATAAAAGACCACTTAGAGTAGTCAAGAAACGCATTGTAAATACCTCATACTATTTCTTTTGTTTTATGAGTCTCATCATTACTTAAACGACCTTCAGAGTTCAAATTCAATTCACTCTAAGTCATACCCCATTCATAATGTTTTCCACTCTCTCTACTTCCGAGAAAAAAATATGGATTTTCATTAAAAATATTGCCCTTCAAATAATGTGCAAGGTGATCAAAGTGAAATTTGAGTAGTCAAGATAAAAACGTGGACAAGTTTTGCATTCTCCTCATTTCAAAATTTAGTATGTCTGATACTCGAAACACCTTTATAGGTCAAATTTGAAGTCTCGCAAACCCATTTTTTCAAGTAATTTTTCTTACTCTACTCGTTTTCATAATAAAAATAAATCTATTGAAAACACATTCCCAATACCAGAACAAAAATGACTGGTCATAATGATCTCCTGAAAATGCTTACTTGGTTAGTGAAACGCGCGTCAAGAGACTGTAATTTTTGTTCTGGTGTTGGGAAAGTGTTTTCAATAGATTAATTTTATGTGAAAGGTTCCAGAGTTCCTATTAAAAAAAACTGATCTAGACCTTGAAATAATTCACATGGTCGTCAAGATCAAATTCAAGGTCACTATGAGGTAGCTAAACAATCCTAAACCTCTGGAACTTTGGTTTCCTTTTAGCGATCCATGTTTTTTAATAATACAGTCATACCAGAACTTTGAGTTCATCCTGTCTAACTTGAAAATGAAAATCCATTTTGGAGTCAAGTATTTGGTTTTCTGTGAAATTAATTTATGTTATTTATTGGCATTTTATTTATTTCAGGAAGAATACACCAGACCATGGTAAAGATTCCAATCTAAGGCACAGGCAGTGAAGAACAAAATTTGTTGAGAATTCAGACAGTACATTAACAGATTATTGAAACTATCCAGAGGTTATACAGTTACATTCGACTTGTGTAGTTTGAACTCGGCTACGATTGTCCGAGAATGTTGGAAGTACTGTACAAAAAAAAATTAAATTTAGGTTTAAATTGTTATGAAGCCTTCCCACTAGTTTGCCTTAAATAACAGCCTTTTTTATTGTAAATTGAATACATATTGTTTTATATTTTTGAAAGAGTTTTCCGTTACTTATGGGTTATTAGTACTTAAACATGTAGATATTGTAAAATCATTGTTATGCAATCAAACTGGCTGATATTCAATGTAAACTGATGTCATATACCATTTGTAAATAAATAACATTTAAGGAAAAGAAAAGAATATTGTATACACTCCTGTTCATATTATTCTATTGTTATAATATTGGGTTTTTACTCATGGACTGTTTTTATTTTTCATCTTTGGTTTTCTTATTAATATAAAGTGCTTTGATATTCTAGATACTTTTTCTTATGTGAACCAATTCAATTACGTTTCATTTTTGAAGTTAAAGATTGCACTCCTTTATATCCTTTTTAATCAGTACATAGATTTTATCTAGTAGAGCAGCTTGAATTTCACGCTCAGTGCTATGTTAGAGAAAAATTGAATAAGAGTACTGTCTAAAACTCTTTTATTTTCATTCATGAAATTGTATTCTATTCAATCAGCGTCATCCACAAAACTACCAATATTTTCTAAAGCCACGTTTTCTGGCAAAATAAAAGTTGGAAAGTTAATGTTTTCGTCAGGTACTGCATATATTTTGAGTGCCAAATTACGAATTGTCAGTACTCAAAGAAATATTTTGAAAAATTGTTACCTCCTTACCATTACCATGAGACAATGTGGAGATATTTGACACAGTGATTCCACTCGTGTGTATGAATTATGTTATAAAATCATTTATTGATTACAAAAATAATCATATTTTTACACTGCCAGCTAAATACGATAACATTTTTCAAAATGAAGTTATGCATCCGCAAAATTTTTGTAGGATGTTTAACCGATTAGGTTTAGCACCTCCATGTAAGGCGGTTGTTCCAAAATGGTTTTATATGTTACTTCATAGACAACATGAGAACATACGAAAGGATAGCCAAAGGACATCTGAAATGAACCAAACCGTACAGTTACTAGACATTGTACATTTTTTGACATCTTATGGATATCTGTAAGATGTTCACCAAACTATGATTGATCCAAGTCTACCGAATAACTTTTGGACATCCATTTCATGTCTAAAAATATATACCTCAATTGGGAATCCAATGTTGTTTTGCCAATGAATTGTGAAAGTGAATTATTGGAAGAGTTTCTGTGAAACATTCAGTATTGTGGTTGAGCCATTTCTTGATGTGAACATACATTTCCTCTCCACTCCTTATATAGTAAAAAATGTTACACATATAGGTATATTAGAAATGTAACTTATAAAGATAATTTTCAGATGACTCAAAAATAATATATACTTTATTTTTTACTTGAAAAGATTCGAATAAAGTTATTTTTAAGTCATCATTATGAAATTAAATAAATATTAAAGATATAATTAAACAATTTCCATTTAACTTTGAGATGGAAGTCGAAATGACCAATAAAAACAGTTTTTTATTTATTATTGATGTTTTTAATTTCATGCCTTACCGTCAATTACTTTCGATTTCCACCTTCAATATAAATTTCTTCTAACTAGTATTGCAATTTAGAGATAAAAATATTGGTGCTTGCACAAAAATTATCGTTGGGCAGTTAAATGAAGTGGATTATCTTAACTTTTTCGAAAATCTGTTTTATTCAAACTATAATCATCCTCCTCAACCAGCATACAATAAGCTTTTTTTTAGAAGAGATTTTGAACGAAACATTTTGTCAAGTTACGAGATCTCAAACAAATTTACAAACATGTTTTCAATAAACCTTCAACAAGTTTATGAAATTTCATTTAATATTCCTTTCAACTACTGAGGCAGTTTGAACATCCAATGAGCCTGGAATGGTGATGATTTTTTTGCTAGTGGTTATATCCTGCAGCAATCGTCTGAAAAAAAAATGTCCTACTGTCGAGATAATGAGTATGGTAATAACCATCAATAAAAGCTTTCGGCTATGGGATCAACAGAAGACTCGATCATCGAATATCAAAGATAAATAAACTATATTCCTCAAGACACCTAGTTGCAGAGGCAAGTTTTAACATCAACTGTCGATCGATATATATACTCTACGATGTATCTTTCACTGCAGCTTTCATATTCTTAGACTCAGACCTGACCACGTTGAATGATGAAGTTTGAAAGTGCATTGTTTAACAAGGAACATAGCTCCTATGACATATCAAGTAATAAAGTTCTCTCTGCTGTTTTCTAATCCCAAGTTTCTCCAGTAGAATGCAACATATGCTGCATATGTTTTTTCTTCGAGAAAAAAATTATAATCACATTATCAGGTCAAAAATCTTATTATATCTGTCCCTGAAAATGAGAACATTCTTACTATAATAATCAACAAGAAGCCAAATATAAGGAACCAAGGGCGTAGAATAAATCCAAAACAAGCACTTTTACCAAACCCAGAATTACAATACACTTCTTGACACACATTTCACCATTTCTTATAATTTAATACACAAACAAAAAATGAATTTTCATTTTAAAACCTATTCCAATCTCTGCTGTCTTTCGGTTGGTGACACCTATGTAAGGCAGATAGACAGTGCCTTGGGCTTGATCTTCATTGGTATTTCTCTTCTCCCATGGACGCGTATCGTGGATTATGTCGCAGCCGTTCGTTTGTAATTATAATTGTTAAGCTTTCTACTGTGACCAAACTATCTTACAAACTACTTTGTTTATGCGATCTCACACATGCATAAAAATTGGCATGATTGTTCCTCGTTTCGAGGTACCGCACTCCGTTCAGTTCCGACCGCACATCACTAAAAACAAAACGCATGTTTGTTTCGCACCACTTTTTGGCCTCAGAACATACGAGATTTCATAATATTCCGATTTTTTTCATATATATAATGATTTCTGCCAATCAGAGTTATCTGATTATCTGTTTCATCAAAGATTTCAAACAATTTACGACAAGTTTTTTCTAAAAGTGTGCAGGTGGCTAATAATGGTCACCTCTGACCTGTATTACCCGCAATTCACATATACATTGATATTTTTAGGTGTAAAAAATAATTTCTGTTCTATGTTGATTGCGTTTGTGCTTGTTACTGGTTAAAACATTTCGCTTATTCAACAAAATCGCCAGAGAACGAACCCATACTGCTTATCTTAGATGATAACAACAGAGCAAGATAGGAAGCGCTCAATGAAAGTCCCCATATTTCCGGTTCTGGTACTTTTATTTTGTTCAATTTTGCTGTAATATATTTTGTAATACTCATTAACGGTGGTCTACTACTTTCTGGTTTTCGGTATATGTAAAAAATACATTGTCACTTTCATTTCTGTAATTTACCATAAAATTTCAGTTTTCTACAATGATATGGAACAAACAACATCTGATATGTTAGCTTCAAAACCATTTTATGGAATACACTTTTGAATAAAATTGTCCTCAGATGACAAGAAACCAATCAGTTCCGGGTCTTTCAAACGAATAAAAAGTTTCGATGATATCTAACACACACTTTGTTTTATTTTTGAATTTATTCGTTTGTAATTATAATTGTTAAGCTTTCTACTGTGACCAAACTATCTTACAAACTACTTTGTTTATGCGATCTCACACATGCATAAAAATTGGTATGATTGTTCGTCGTTTCGAGGTACCGCACTCCGTTCAGTTCCGACATGACATCACTAAAAACAAGACGCATGTTTGTTTCGCACTACTTTTTGGCCTCAGAACATACGAGATTTCATAATATTCCGATTTTATTCATTTATATAATGATTTCTGCCAATCAGAGTTATCTGATTATCTATTTCATCGAAGATTTCAAACAATTTACGAAAAGTTTTTTCTAAAAGTGTGCAGGTGGCTAATAATGGTCACCTCTGACCTGTATTACCCGCAATTCACATATACATTGATATTTTTAGGTGTGAAAAATAATTTCTGTTCTATGTTAATTGCGTTTGTGCTTGTTATATTTTCAGTTCAAGGGTGCCTCGGAACAGAAACGATTGACGGTGAATTGGAAATAAAACAATATAACCAGAGCATTCAAACTTGTCGCTGAAGGGACACCAATAAGAGAAGCAAGAACGACTAAAAAAATCTGAATCACCATCTCTAGTGAGAAATCCAGTCTTTATGAAGGAATAAGAAGCTGAAATGACAGATCAAGTAAAAGTAAAATCTTTATACAAAAATATTTTATGGCTGCACTTCAATTCAAATAAGAAAAACGGCTCGCGAATACACTGTTAAAAATAATTTGATGTACAAGTTTTATGAAAATCTCGACATGGCTGCAAAAGATTGGCTAATGGGTTCTATGAAAAGAAACAATTTGTCTAACCATAAAACTGAAGGCACGAGCTTGAATCGAGCAACTACTTTTAACAAGGCTGAAGCTGGTTTATTTTTTGAATTGTTTAGTTAATGGAAAATTATAAAATTTACCAAGAAATATATATAATGTGGACGAAACAGGAATCTCCTCAGTACAAGACCCAGGTAAAGTAATAACTGAGAAAGGTCAAAAACGTGTGGACTCTATAACGTCTGGAAAAAAGTAACGGTTGTGTGTACAGTAAATGCTTCTTTCTCCACCAGAGACATTCACCGGCACTAGAAAACGATGATCCACGTGGTGCTATATACCGGTGTTCATAGAACGGGTGGATGAATGGAGAATTGTTTGAAGACTGGTTAAAACATTTCGCTTATTCAACAAAACCGCCAGAGAACGAACCCATACTGCTTATCTTAGATGATAACAACAGAGCAACAGATTCACCATCTCTTCTCACCACAACTTTTGGAGTAACCGAAAAAGATCTTTTATCAGTTCCGAAGAAACTCCTAAAAAATAATGTGAAAATTCTGGAAGCTTCTCGAAAACAGCATGCAAAAATCCTCACTAGCACTCCTAATAAAGAGGATTCAAAAGAAAAAGAAGAACAACAAGAGAAAAACAGAATCAGAATGAAGAAGGCGTCAAAAGAACTTCAGGAAAAAAGACGGCAATGAAAAGACCAACTAAAGGTGAAAAACGGAGTCTTCGAGAAAATAATAATGAAAGTTCGTCGGACTCCAAAATTGACATGATAGACGTTCGTGATGATTATGATACCGACATCGAAGATCTTCAAAACCATTATGGCCCAGTAAAATGAATTTTGATACAGATGTGTTCAGTGTAGGCTTTGGGCTCATGCTGAATGCTCGGACTGTGAATCACCTGGAGGTTACGCATGCGATTTATGTCGCTAAAAGCCTGACCAGCACATAATTTCAGTGGCGTAAAAAGAATGCTGGAGACTGTTTTGGAAACAGATAGATTGCTACAAATGGTCCTGTTAAGTGGCCTCCTCTTTCACCAGACATGACACCGCTAGATTTGTATTTTTGGGGATTTCTGAAAAATTGGGTGTACAAATAAAAACAATAATGTAGATTAAAAGTTATATTGAAACTATAATTACGGCAAACATTTGAGATATTATTCCAAGGGTATTTTGTCCTTTGATGATTTTTGATAGGGCGCTTTATTAGCGAAAAAAATTCAGCAGTAACAATTCATTACCAAAAATTACATGTAATACGTTTCTTGATCTACAAGAAATGTTGAAAATAATGACTATCCCCCGCTCGGGTGCAAGAATCCAATCTTCTCCTCTTCGACTCCCAAACTGTTTTAAAAAACCAAGATCGTTTCTGATTGCCTTACACCCAGCAAATTGAATGCCTGCAGCCATTTGTAGTAATCGGAATGTTGTTGATAGGTACCAACGGAATTGTTAGATTTTTTATTACTTGGTAGGTCCAGTGCAGTACGCTATACTTTTATTTCGGCTACGTTAATAATTTTAAAACTATCAAAATTGTTATTGTCGACATTCTTTTTTGCCTCGTATCTTCGAAACAAAGTGCCCTATCAAAAATCATCAAAGGACAAACTATCTTCAGAATAGTCCGAGGAATAGTTCCTAATTTTTTGCTGCATGTTTAATAAACACCCTGTATATAGCACGTTGGGAAAAAAATAATACAAGAAAATTCGATCTTGAACTTTCAACGTGTCTTCAAGTTCCACTATGAAATAAGTACTATCGATGTGTAGAAAAGCACCGCGTTTGAAACAAATACTATGCCTCATGCCAAGTAGGTTCCGAATTCATCAAAATCACTTCCGGTTTTCACTTTTGGTTGTTCAAGTTCACTGAAATTGTCTGGATGTCATGACATATAACCAGTCATTCCACGAAGCCAAAAGGACCTTGTAACTTATTTTTGTTGTAGTTGGAGCAACATGCTGATAGGGTTACTCATTTGAAACGATTTCGTTCCAAATTACGAAACTTTTGATATCGAGGGTCAAAAGTACCAATTTGAAGAAAATTTAATGAAAAAATTGTAAAGTTGAGATGTTGTGTAATGGAGAACTATAAATAAATTGATTTCCATTACGAGTTGTCCAACCCGTGACCAACTACCCCAATCTTATTTACTTCTTGCTTCAAAATATATAAATACTACGAAAATTACTGCAAAATTCATGGTGTAAGTATAGGCTTTCACGGAAATTGTCCAAGAATTCAAGTTTATATCTGATGGAATTTGAATAACCCACAGATATCCCCGATGCAACTCAAGGAATAGGTAACAGAGCCTACATAGAATATGAGTTCAATTTTTTCAATCATGTGATCATGTAATTTTTTATTCCGATAAATGTGGGCAATAAAACTTTAACTATGTTCATTTTATTTCAAAGCTGATTGAAGATTGATTTTTTAGAT